CTGCCTATATATCTATCTCCCTATCTATCTATCTCCCTATCTACCTGCCTATCTATCTGCCTATCTACCTATCTATCTACCCCCCACCTATCTACCTATCCCCCACCTTTCTATCTACCCCCTACCTATCTATCTACCTACCTACCTATCTATCTATCTGCTTATCTATCTACCTACCTATCTGCCTATCTATCTACCTACCTATCTGCCTATCTATCTATCTACCTATCTATCTATCTCCCTGCCTATCTATCTGCCTATCCACCTATCTATCTACCCCCCACCTATCTATCTCCCCCCCACCTATCTACCCCCCACCTGTCTATCTCCCCCCCACCTATCTACCCCCCACCTATCTACCCCCCACCTATCTATCTCCCCCCCCCCTATCTACCTATCCCCCACCTTTCTATCTACCCCCTACCTATCTATCTACCTATCTACCTACCTATCTATCTACCTATCTATCTGCTTATCTATCTCCCTACCTATCTATCTGCCTATCTACCTATCTACCTATCTATCTATCTCCCTATCTCCCTGCCTATCTATCTGCCTATCTACCTATCTATCTACCTACCTACCTATCTATCTATCTGCCTATATATCTATCTACCTATCTATCTGCCTATCTATCTATCTATCTATTTATCTGCCTATCTATCTGCCTATCCACCTATCTATCTACCCCCCACCTATCTACCCCCCACCTGTCTATCTCCCCCCCACCTATCTATCTCCCACCTGTCTATCTACACCCACCTGTCTACCTCCCCCCCACCTATCTACCCCCCACCTGTCTATCTCCCCCCCACCTATCTATCTCCCACCTGTCTATCTACACCCACCTGTCTACCTCCCCCCCACCTGTCTACCCCCCTCACCTGTCTACCTCCCCCCCACCTATCTACCCCCCACCTATCTATCTCCCCCCCCCCTATCTACCTATCCCCCACCTTTCTATCTCCCCCCTACCTATCTATCTACCCCCTACCTATCTATCTACCTACCTACCTATCTATCTATCTACCTGCCTATCTACCTATCTATCTATCTATCTGCCTATCTGTATATCTATCTATCTGCCTATATATCTATCTACCTATCTACCTGCCTATCTATCTACCTACCTATCTATCTATCTGCTTATCTATCTCCCTACCTATCTATCTGCCTATCTATCTACCTATCTACCTGCCTATCTATCTGCCTATCCACCTATCTATCTACCCCCCACCTATCTATCTCCCCCCCCCCTATCTACCTATCCCCCACCTTTCTATCTCCCCCCTACCTATCTATCTACCTATCTACCTACCTATCTACCTGCCTATCTATCTGCCTATCTATCTATCTGCCTATCTATCTATCTATCTATTTATCTGCCTATCTATCTGCCTATCCACCTATCTATCTACCCCCCACCTATCTATCTCCCCCCCCCCTATCTACCTATCCCCCACCTTTCTATCTACCCCCTACCTATCTATCTACCCCCTACCTATCTATCTACCTACCTATCCATCTGCCTATCTATCTATCTATCTGTCTGTCTATCTATCTATCTATCTCCCTATCTCCCTGCCTATCTATCTGCCTATCTACCTATCTACCTACCTATCTACCTGCCTATCTATCTGCCTATCCACCTATCTATCTACCCCCCACCTATCTATCTCCCACCTGTCTATCTACACCCACCTGTCTACCTCCCCCCCACCTATCTACCCCCCACCTGTCTATCTCCCCCCCACCTATCTACCCCCCACCTATCTACCTATCCCCCACCTTTCTATCTCCCCCCTACCTATCTATCTACCTACCTATCCATCTGCCTATCTATCTATCTGCTTATCTATCTATCTACCTATCTACCTGCCTATCTATCTGCCTATCTACCTATCTACCTATCTATCTACCCCCTACCTATCTATCTACCTGCCCCCACCTTTCTAACTCAGTTCAATACCTGGACCTGCAGTGACAGCTGGTGCCAGGCAAAGTCATTGCTCTGGTTCTGTCGAGTGAAGTCATCACTGTAGCTGTGTGAGTGGACAATGCTGGGCTGCACCAGGCTGTTCTGGGACCGCAGGGCAGACAAGTCCTCGCTGCGGGAGAAAGCACTGTTTCCAAAGGCAGGCGTGTAATCATGGTGTCCATTTTCAGGCTCGGGGGCGAGGAGGAGTTGAGAAGGAGGAGCCTGAGGCTGAGCTGGGGAGTTCTGGGTGGCCAGATGGAACAGTGGATTCTGGAAAGACAGGGGGAAGTGCATGGCTGCTGCTGCCTGCTGTTGCTGTTGAGAGATGGACTCCGTGGGCCCCCCGAGGTGACCCATCTGACTCAGCCTCAAAGCAGAACCCGCGGAGTTTGTGGGCATATGCCGAAGAGGAGCACCAAGGTTTCCGAAGCTGTGGCCCAGGCCAGCGATGGAGGCCTGAGAGGAAGTGAGCATGTCTCCCACTGAGTTCAGGTTGGAAATACTGTTCATCCGTGAGTCCTGAAGGTCCATCATGGAGACACTTTTATTCACACTGTGGACCTGAAGAGATAGACATGAAAAACAACAGAGCTGACAACACAATCGGTGAATGAGCTGACTTGACATGATATATGTTTTACTCCATACCTTGGGATCAGGTTCAGTGATGTCTGAGCCACTTGTGCAGTATGCAGGACTGGAACGGGCCAATGGTGGACGGGTCACGTAGAAAACTTCCCTGGACGGGCGAAGGTCCCGTTCAGCATGACGCCTCATGTTTAGATTGGACGAGAGGGACTCTACAGCTGACACTCCAGTAGTAGGTGATGGCAGGCGTGAGATGTCTATTGAACTACATCCAGCAAACAGAAATGTAGTTAATATGTGTTACAGTACCATCTCAACCTTGTAAATGACTACTCAAATAAAACTAAAGCCTTTGCTTCTGTCCTGTTCTTGGCCTATCAGTCATCTACATCCTCCCTTGTTAGTTCAAAGGTTGTGAAATAGAAGATTAGTTAAAGAGTCACAAATCAGTTAAATGTGCAGAAATAAAATATAACAATATGAGACATTAGCTTAAAAATACAAAAGTAGGCAAACCCTAGTACGGTAAGTCAAAAGCAGTTCTATCTTATAAAGATATGTGTATATTAAAATTACAATGTAAAGTCAGTTTAAATGTTCATCCGTCTATAACATTAATGCTTAAACATCGTGTCTCATTATGTAATGATGCAAAGGCACGACTCCATCCTGTCACTACTGAGACCTGAGCTCAGAGGAACAGCATGTGTCGTCTGATGTGTGTGTTTGTGTTTACTCCTGCAGATTTCATTCCCACCAACAACTGCTCATTAGGTTGGGCCCAAAATAGCAACCAGGAAATAAATGTGGTATACTCCTCTGATATTACCTCCATTTTCTCTCTTACTTATGGAGTACAGATATAAACTGTTAGGATACAGTGAGAATGAGACTGAACTGTCTCTCGACGTCAGAGCAGTGCTGTTTGAATAAGACAGTGAACAGATGGTGCTTCCCATTAAAGACTGATTTATTGTAGACTAAAACAATAAACCAGTGTTTCAACTAATGTTTTTTAAGTGTTACTGTTAAATTCACTAATGGAAAACTGCAGTTTCTATATTTACAGACTAAGAACTTGAGTATTGTTGGTGGTGGGAACCCCTGAGTGAGATGTGAGCAGATGCAGTACCTGTTTAAGTCACGCATCATGAGGCTTTGGAAGTCAGAGGACATGAGGCGATTGAAAGACGGCCGTGAGAAAAGTCTGTCCTTCGGTCTCTCCGGCTGGTGATTTGTGGGCATGTGAAGCTGAGGGTTCCTCAGGGCCACGCTGATGTCATTGAGCAGCCGTGGTAGCGGTCCCAGTTTAAGAATAGCATCCTGAAAGGTAGAAAGACTTTCTTTCAATTTCAATTAAAGACTCTAAGCAGGTTCCTTAAAGAATTAAATTACCTCAAGTATTACAAATACTGTACTTGGAAAGAAAATGCTAGTTAAAGCACAAACTACATATTAGTGAACTAAGGCCAAAATTCATATTTGGATACTAGTGACTGGCACTTTGGCCTAGAGGCAATGTCGCTGTCATTGGTGTGGAACCCCAGAGTTCACCTCCTGGGCAAGTTCGAATCTCGGTTAGGGCGGTTAGTACGGTGGGTGGCGACTGCTGCCCCTGCGACCCGGTAACGGATAAGCAGGTGAAAATGGATGGATACTAGTGAAAAAATAGACTAAACTGACATTTATCACAACTGTCACTTCTCTTAGGTTTTTTTTTTATAAACAGGTTCCAATAAAGAGCTACAATGTTTTCCCACAGTCCGTGACGCAATGACGTAAGTACAATATTTTATCTACTTTATATAAACTTGGCTTTGTCAACAAAAGAAACACAGAGTTGTATCTGACATATGGTGTCTACAGTCTCTGCACAAATCATATTTTTTAATATTATATTCTAGTAAACGTCATTCAGTGATTTTTTTTTAACAAAACCTATTTTTTTCTCCCCACTGCCTGTAGGCAGAAGTTCTGGTACTGATACCTGGTTGTGCTGTTGGAAACCTCAGCTATATAAAAGTATGACTCATTTTAACACTGGTGAACAGCAACAATCACCAAGAAAAATGAAATAATAGGCATATGTTATATTTAACAGTTGGTATGTCATGATATAACGCAACGTATCAGAAATGTCATTAAATTAGCTGAATAAATTATCGGGTTTATTAGTTTTATTCTCTGCAGGAAACTCAGTCTCCAACTCTAATGTGGACACTTCAAATGTGCAAGAGAAATGTCATTAAATATTTAAAGCCGCTGTGGAATAACACATTAATCTCCTCACCTTGCTGAGTTGGCCCATGACTTCCCACAGTAAGCTGTGGAGCATGGACAGCTCTCTGCCCAGATCGATGTAGCCTTCAAATCCTCCAGCGTTCCCTCCTGTCTCCATGTTGGAAATCTCGTAGAGAAACTGCTGCATGGATCCCCACTCCATCTCCAGGAACTCGTTCATGAAGTACAAATACTCCTCCTTAGGTCCGAACCTGTTTGACACACAAAAACCCCAATATATCATCATTCCTGTAGCATCGCAACATATCGTATCATTACCCTGTATTGTGATTCATATCGTATCACCTGATTCTTGCTGATACACACCTCTGAACTATTCATTTATTCCCATACCATGTTGATATACTAGTTAAAGTCCAATTAAACACCTAGTATTACTCCACAGTGACTGACACAACAAGTACTGACTGTTCATGTACTTCTTTACCTAATACAGAGTCAGAACTCCACAGGAGAAGCATGTTGGCTCTGAGGAGCAAGTCAATGTTTTTATTTGAAGTAATCGGCCATTGACGATGAACTAACTAATGACCTTAATCCACTTCATATTTACTGACGCGTTCACACACAAAAAAATCTTTAAAGTCAGTCTACTAAATTAACCTTGTGGCTAATTTAGTAGACTGACTTTCTTAAAGAGTTGGTGGAGTGTGACTCAGAGTCAGTGAGGAGAGTAAATTCCTGATTAACATTTTGTCACTATGCCAAGTTTTCTGACCTGTTAAAACATTCTGTTTGATGTCAGATGTGAATGACTGCTGATCCGTTTCCAGCTGTCTAATCACTCCTGGCTCATGTAGATCAAAGCCCTGACATAATCTGGTTAAAGCTAAGCAAGGGCTGAGACTGGGATTAACAATCCATCGTATGGTCACGTCAGTGTGGAACTGTAAATGGAAAAGGAATTGTGAAAAAGTGGCCAAATTAATTTGACATTGAATTGCTCCTATTGGCCCACCAGCAGTTTAGGGGGGGTCACTAAAGGTCAATGTTATTGGTCACAGAAAGCAGATATATTATGTTAACAGAAGTATTTTTGTGTCTTTTTTGTGGACAATTCCAACCTAAAAAAAGCCTCTGTTTAAACAGAGAGCTTCTATATCAGCAACTATAGCTGGGTCTAAAAATAACCCACTGGTCTGTGGTGAAGAGGGCGGTCAATGACATGGACTCACTTGCTGAAGCTGGCCAGGTTCTGCATCACCTTGGCGATGAGCGTGAGAGTGCGGGAGGTGCGTTCGGCAGGGTACTCCTGCATCAGGTTGAAGAGGGAGGGAGACATGATGGCTGGGCACATGAAGCGCAGGAACAGGGAGGAGCTGATGAGGCTGTCGGCCAGATCCTCCCTACCACGCTCAGCACATCTGGCTCTCCACGAGGCAAACACTTCCTTCAGCTCCCGGGGAAAGATGCTGAAATAGAAACAGAAATTCATTATCTGCTGTCACCGAGAAGAACGGCAGAGGAAATTTAGCTTGTTCAGGAAAAACTGAGGGAGGTCAAGAGATGAAGGGGAGACTGTGCTGGACTGAACTGTGCTCACAGGATACAGCACTTTTTCAAAACCTTTACTTCACATTCTTTAAACCAAGTCACCTTTTTTTTGAGACTTATTTAACCAACATTGTGTTGATTTTGTTTGTTGGGACTTGGATATATATATTGTCTAATGTGAGGACAGTTTTTGTTAATTGCAGTAACATTTGTTTCCTTTTAGACTGAAATATCCTACAGTCAATGAGCAGAAAATACAAGTGTCTCTAAGTATTTATATGTTCATGCTTGATGTTTGGTTCAAATCAAATAAATAGAGGTTAAATTTTAGATTAGAGGTAAGGTTGTTGTTTTTTTTTTCTTTTTGTAAAACTAACCAAAGTGAGTTGATGATCTTGCAGAGTAACAGCTCGCAGCACATGCGCAGATTGGCCTGGTGGTCGGCGAGGACCGATGGCGGAACACGCATGGGGTCCACTTCACAGTTCTCCTCAGACTCGTACAAGGCTCGAATGAAATCACCTGAAAGACACAGACTGGGAGTTTACATGTGGACCAGTAAGTCACTACTGCCTGCCCTAACATAATATACACATATATATGTGTCATTATTATTTTCCTTCTCTACGTTTCAGAATACTAATACTGCTTTACATGTATTTCATTGATACAAATAACATGGCTGCTTGTAGGGTATGAAACATTAGGTACAAGCAAAAATATTCTCCTAAATACTTGATGTACTGTATACTGAATACATGAACAAATACAGAAAACAAAGACATAAAATACATAATCACCACATTGATCAGATTTAACGCCTGATTCATATATTATAACTACAGTTGACAACAGGCTGATGACACATGAGATAGAAATATATATTATTTTCATTTCTGGCCAATTATGTACAACTAGATCAAAGGAGGGGGGGCGGGGGGCACAGCAGATCTGCATATATGATGTGGCACAGGTTTTTATGCCAGATGTCCTCCCTGACACAACCCTCCCCCATTCACTCAGGCTTACTCTCAGCAGCAGGAGGCACTGACTGTTCCTCCACTAGTGGCTGGGCACGATATAAAAACAAATTCAGGTTGTAAATTGACATTCAAAAAATGAATGTTATTCAATAACAACATGCAGTCTGGAGTCCAGATAGAATCCAACAGACTGGTGTGGGTCGAAACACTGTAGGTTAAGTTTTACAAGTAATTAGTAAAACATGCAACGAGATGCTGGGAGGTTTTTTGAAAGTAAACAGGATGGAGAGGACTGAAAATGTCCAGCTCAATTTGAGCACTTAAAATATAGAACTAAGATTAGTGGGTGTAACGGGGAGCAGAGAGGAGTGTAGCCAGACCACACAAACGTCCATTCACACTCAATTATTTGTTGAAACAAAAAGAGGACAAAATAGACAAAAAAACCATTAACCTCTAAGAGAAGACACTTCTCTGTAGTCATACCTATAACCATTAACCTCTAAGACACTTCTCTGTAGTCATACCTATAGCATCCTTAAGATATCTGTAACCAATCAGTTTGAGGTACTCTTCCACAGCCTTCGTCGCCAGTGTGTTCTCCCGAAAGATCAGGTGCTCACGGTCCATGAATCGATCCACCTCACACATGGCCATGTCAGACAGGAACTCCTGGCAAAGGTCAGATTAAGAACTTGGTGAAGGTGTTGACAAGTGAAAGTAAATTCTCCTGTGAATGTGCTGAAATACAGCAGTCAATCATGAAACTGACTTCTTCCTCACCTTTGTTTTTCCTGTGCTCTGTAAAATGTGCACCAAAGCAAACGCCACCTCCTCTTTGCTTTTCACACTCAGCAGCGGCTCCAAGACGGAACACAGTGTTCGGTAGTTGTTGGTGATGTACTCGGCAAACTCCTTGTAAAGCTCCATTGGCAGGATGTTCATTGTCTGGTAGCGAGACTTGACACGCAGCGAGGCATTGATGACTTTGCCACTTCCAACGCCGCCGCCTTTGGCCAAAACGCTGGACTGAATCACCGGATACCACTGCTCCACAAACTGTCGGCCCGTGATGCTTGAGATGGGAATGCTGACCAGGCCAATGTATGTGCTTTTTTCCTGGAATTCCCAGAATAAAAACAACATATTTTATGAGATTTCCACTGTTTTATCATGTCATTACGTCTGTGAAACCTAGAGCTTTAGTTACCTTGCGTCTTTTCTTGTCTGTTTCCTTGTAGAGATGCAGACGAAGGCTACGAATGGTTGGCAGATTGTTGAACTCAAAGTGCTCGCCCCAGAAGACCGTGTCAGTCCGAGGTTTGCTGGTGGTTCTTGCGTACAGCATGTCGTCCAGACACAGCTCGCAGTAGTAGCGTTTCTTTGCGGGAAGGTCTCGAGCTTCGATGATCCACAACTTGAGCACGTTGTCCACCCGTCTGCTGTTGTCCTGGAAACGAAACGAGGAGTTCTATTACTGGATTATAACAGTCCTCATCCACAGTTGGCCTTGATGTTACATCCTTAGGTAAAACAACATGCCACTAGGTGGCAACAAAAACATCCACTGTGTCTACCTTGTTGGGTTTGACTGCACGTTGAAGATTCTCTATCCATTTGTCTCTTTCTGTGGCCGAGCGGCAGGCGAAACATTTAGTTCCTGAATTGGTCGTCACCTTCAGACAGATCAGAGAGTTAGGAAACATTTAATTTTTTTTAGCCTGTCTATTTAATTTCTAATGCTTTAATTTATTTTTTATTTTTAAAATATATTTTTTTATTATAAAATAAATAATAAAATATGTTATTATTTATGTGAACAAAACACACCTCAAAGCAGTACTCTTGTCCCAAAATACTGGAGTGGACAGGTTTGATAATGGCGTCCTCATCTAAAACTAGGTCCAAAGCCTCCGCTGCAGTACTGGGGGACAGCAAGGATTCATGGGAGTGGGATTCTTTGAAGCTCTGCATTAGACGAGTCCTGGTTAATAAAAGAGGAAGAAAAAAAAAAAAGATTTGGTGAAAAAAACAATAAAGTCAGATGTGACGGAGTCAGCGTTTCATACAGAAGTCACTATAGCTGAGAAAACCTCCCGAGTCCTCTCTCAAATTTCCTGAGACTCGATCCTTTTATAATGAGTTTATAGAAGAGTAAAGAGAACCAGATTTTCACTACTGCTGTTTGCAGGTTGTTCTGTTGACTTAGCTCAACAAAATCGTACTGTATATTCAGAAACAGTCCACAGAGGCTCGGCTTGTGGAGTTCTCTGGAAATGTAATCCAATTCTTTCAAGTGCACAACAAACTTTAAAGACAGTAAACTAACGCTGGTTCTGCTGCAGATGGTGAAAAGATGGAAAACCCAAGCTGCAGAAGAAAACTGTTTGACGGTTCTAACCTTTGGAACGGTTCTGTCAAACCAAAGAAAAGCGTGGCTTGAAAGTGGAAGCGTGGATGTGACTCAAGACCGCCTCTCAGCTGACGCAAGGTCAGTAACCTAACTGATAACAACATGTACTATCGCAAACTTCTTTTTTCTTCCTTAAAAAGATGTGATAAATTCAGGCAGAAAATTAAATTCCACCACTGAACTCATGTCTGTCAGAGTTACCAAGTCATTCAGTGAGTGGGTGTCTGGTCTGTTGGGTTCAGTTGCAGAATTCCAGACAAAGGTGAAGAAAATACTGTAAAAACATTGGTGTGAATCAGACAAGTAATTTCATGTCTGACAGATTTGAAGACACAGAGGTGAAATTCCTGACTCTCATGGAGAGTACAGGTCTACGGCTGCTGACATTGATTTTATGGGAAGTTGCCACATTGTTGTAAATGAAATTTTCTTTGTTCTCCCGCTCTGGCACAGGTTAAATGAGAATCTCTAGCCCGTACTCTGCCGGAGTCTCAGGGAAATGAAAGTTCTTTAGCAAATAAGTAGCTATAGATCGATCTGCTGCAACAAACAGACTGAGGTGTTGTCAGAGAAACCAAAGGACCTCAGGGGGTCAGCATGAAAACTCTACACACATCATTGTTGGAGCCAGAGTGTCTATGTGTGTATATATATATATATATATATATACACACAAGCCCAATAGTATATCAGATCAGGGTCTAGGAGTAGATAGAAAGGGGGTGCTGGTAAATCATAAGCAATTAAAATAACACATACAAACAAAATATAATTATATATTATTCTAGTTATCTTTTTGATATCTTTAGCTGTGTTAGGGCCGTGATATTTCCAGCTAGGTTAACTTAATTTAGTAATTATGCTTCTTTTTTTAACCAAATTAAACTAATTTATGTATTTTAATCCAATTCTTTCAAAAGAATTAAAAACAAAAATACTAATTAAATTTAATAGTAATGGCTATTAGCGTGTATGATGTCTTTTATGATAGAAAAGACAAAGACAACAATAGAAACTGGATAATAAAAGCAGGAAGGCTTCACTGCACTTCTGTAGATTCCAGGTTTGTGTTATTTCCATTGTCAGATTTCTGTCATCTGCTCAGGTCTGGATGAAAACGCTCGGATTTTCAGAAGCTCTCATGAGCTTTTCTCTCTGTTTTTATTCTGACGTTAGGTCACTTCCCCAAAGACGCCTGCTTGCATTGTGATCAAAAAATTCTGCTGTCCTCACACAATCCATTGGTGACTCACATGTGGGGAAATGTTATGTTGTTGAGAAAGGAGAGGCGGAGAGTAAAAATGTAATGCTGACACAGTGCAGTCCCCCCCCACGCTGATGCATTACAGACATTTCTGGGGCAGGTGTAGATGTCCACCAACCTGAGATGTTTAGCTGTGTTTAAACACCGGAGAAGAGCCTTTTTCAGAAGCACGGCTAAATTAAAACAAATCTCATGAGGCTCTAGAGGAGTTTTCTGGAGGCCGTACTGAAGGAACTGAGGCAGAGCTGAGAGTTGTTGTGGATTAAGGAGACTTTGTGCTTCACTCAGTGTGTGAGCTCTTACCTCCAACCACAAACGTCCGCTGCTGCTTCAGACCTTCAACTGAGCTCACACTCACGGAATCCACTCACCGGTCTTAGTCTGACTTATCTCTAAACCCTCAACATCCAACTTCACACTCTCAGTGAAACACAGCTGCTCTGCCTCTGCTGCCAGTTTACTTCACTGGAGCTGAAGCCAGGCACAAAACCACTGACTGTCTGTGTTCTGGCTTCACACAAATCATTTACAATAAGCAAGTATTTATTTGGACCCTTGCCTTAATCTAGGGGTGCGTTCTCCATGTCAGAATAAAAACAGAGAGAAAAGCTCATGAGAGCTCCTGAAGCTCCGAGCATTTTCATCCAGACCTGAGCAGATGACAGAAATCTAACGATGGAAATAAAACAGAGCTGGAATCAACAGAAGTGCAGTGAAGCCTTCCTGCTTTTATTTTCTGGGATTTATTATTGTCTTTGTCTTCTCTACCATAAAAAACATCACACACGCTAATAGCCATGAATTATTCCATTACTATTAAATTTAATTAGTCATTTTTTAAAATCCAAATTCTTTTGAGAAGAATTGAATTAAAATACATAAATTAGTTAATTTGGTTTAAAAAAAAAAGCATAATTACTAAATTAAGTAAACCTAGCTGGAAATATCACGGCCCTAACACAGCTAAAGATATCAAAAAGATAACTAGAATAATATATTATTATCTTTAGTTTATTTTAATTGCTTGTGATATATATATATATGTGTGTGAATTATATTTTGTTTGTATGTGTTATTTTAATTGCTTATGATTTACCAGCACCCCCTTTCTATCTACTCCTAGACCCTGATCTGATATACTATTGGGCTTCCTGAATATTATCACCAATGCAATACACTGTCACACAGTCCCCAGGCTTTTGGCCAAGTTATCCTAAGGCCAGGCTCCAAAACCACCATGTGTCTCAGTGACAGTATGCAGCTCCAGACTGCAGAGACATCACTGTCACCTTTATAATGTATAGTATATTACCTCTCTTGGTCGGCACTACGAAATCGGGGCAGAATCATTTGTCTGAAACTGCTGGTCCGGTCCAGTTTGGGCTGACTTTTGGCCCTTTTGATAGAACCCTTCAACCTTCTGTTGAGAAAGCTCTGAAAATGACAAGAGAATAAATCACAGCCTTGTTAGAAACAAGTCAACAACACCAACAAAAACCCCTACTTTGTTGCTGTGTCCTACTCACGGGCTGTCTGAAGGGCTGCGGTGTTGCATTAGGAGGCGTCTCCATGCTTGACTGTCTGACAGAGGCAAAGCTTGCCCTGCGTGATTGGTCTTTAGGGGAAAAGTGTCATGAAAAGAGAGAGAAAAAATAAATTGATTAATTATTTAAACAAAATACTTTGGGGGGTAAAATTCCAGGTTAGAAAACAGTTAGGTGAGATTTTAAACCTGCAACTCAAACACAGATTAATCACAAGCTTCTGACACGTCAACATGGCAGAGTAGTAGAAAAGGAAAACGAGGACACACAGATACAGCCTTCAAAAGGAACAACAAAAGCACTGTGTGACAAAGACAGTCGGACGTCATCTTTGTAAAAGACCTTTATAGGGGCGTAACAATACACTCAGCTCACAACACAATATGACTCCAGATTTTGAGTTCACTACACTATTTAATTCCATTTCTCTATAAACAAAGTGAGCTCCAGACAAATACAATGATTACCAACTGAAAATGGACCTGTGTACCTCAAAAACTGATGTTATCTCACAAAACAGAAAAAAAAACATTTATTTCCAGAAACACTGCATTTATCTCTTATTTAAAGTCAAACTTGTCTGGTCTTATTTACCTCGCTAACCGTCAATAAGTAAACAACAAAAAAACAGCCTACTCCTTACGTCTTGATGCGCAATTCATTTTTTTATGTAAACCGACGCAAATTGTCACGCATCTGTATAGATTTTTAAACAATCCGTGATGCATCATTACATCCACAGTGGCATAGTTTTCTTATTTCAGGCAAACAGGGAAATGACGCAGGTCCCAAGTATACTTGGAGAAAGACAACGATTTTATGAGTCATCTCCAGCCATCAAGTCCTGGTCTGACTTTAGACGAGGACAAACTCTGGAACATGGTGATGAATCTATAATAATACGAGCTGGGAATCAGATCTGATGTTTAACTCTGTGCTGCTGAGTAAGGGAGACAGGGCAGTGCCTGAGGGAGGAGGAGGAGGAGGAGGAGTGTGACTACTCCAAAATCCTTATCCTACCAAGTAAAGAAGAGCAAGAAAAAATAGTATAAAATAGTATTTGGAAATGGCTAGATAAAGACAAATTAGCTGTTTCCTAGATAGAAAATACAGACATACATAGAAATATGAATACCAGAAAACACACCTGGTAGTTAAAGTTTCAGGTCAAAAGAAAAAAAAGAAAATAAGTCTAAATAAAAAAATATTTAAACCTTAGTCACAATACTAAAAGGATAAGAAGAGCTAATTCAAGATAAGAAATATTAACATTATCCAAGCAGCAGGCACAGGGGCTTTAAAACAGAGTGGATGGTAAGGCAATTTAAATAAATTAATAGCAATCTTTGCAATTCAATAAAATTGACTGTCAGCTGGCAATATAAAATATCAAAATGGACGCAAACACGGAAAGAAAGATGATAAGTGTTAATAAGTTAAGTTTGATTAAATTAAATGTTATATTTCATATTATAGCTATATATTTTTGTCTGATAACAAATGAAATTATTATATTTGACAATTTGTTATTGTGCTTTTTCTGTTTAATTACCATCTAGAGCAGGGGTCGCGAGCCAGATGTAGCTAATTAGATGAATGTTAGCTGACATTTCTTAACATTTTCTTAACAATAACTAAAAAATAATTTCGCTGATATTCAAGTAAAACATTACAAAAAGCATAGTGTTAAAATAATCTTCACAAAAGAAAACATTTGTCGTGTATTTGCTGCGGCAGCCTACTCACTTTTAAGTAATTGCGGTAAAATCGTCAGCTCGGTACGTCATCTTATTTCTGGCATAAAAAGTGAAAACAACGTAAGTCTAACTTTTAGCAACACAATATGAAAATATATAAAATAAATAAACGTACAGCTAATGATATATTGATGAAATTAAACTATTTAATTTAAAATAATCAAATAAATTAATGATTAACAGGTGCACCTACTGTAACGACAGCAAACTGCGACACAGCGGGGTTCACGACTCTAATCCGCAGGGGTGTTGCATTTAATGACCATACGATAAAATAAGATTTTTCTTAGGTGTTGTGTAATAAACTGTTTTGTATTGCAAGTTGAACCATATATTGATAACTTTGTTAAACATAATAATAATCTATACTTTTTTGCGCTGGAGCCAATCGCATCAAAACCAGATCAATTAATGGTAAGAATTATTTATGCATTTGATAGTATAACAACGTTATTAATTGTTTACTTTAATAACTTTTTTAATACTTCAGAGACTTACTGTACCCAAAAATGACTGGTCTTGTTTAAAAATCCACACACTGAGTTGTATTTAGAGCAAAAGAATATATTGTATAGCTCTCATTGAAATACATTTTAAAATATGTGACCTTTTTGGCTCTCTCTGCTAAAATGGTTCAGCTTTAATATATAATAGAAAGTAATAGAAAGTACAAAGTTAACATTCCTCACGATCTGTATTTATTTCTAACGGAAACAGTTCTTTCGGAGCAAAAACGTTGCGTTTGAGTGAAGCACATTCAAGAGAGCAAGTAACGTGCAATAGCACCACCACAACACAAGAGGGCAGCGCTGCGATAAACAGTACAGATTACGTCGGGAAGGAGACAAAGGCCGTATCCCGGTCATGAACTTGTCTTGGGCGGGTTAAAGTATAGCTGTAAATATAATCATCACATTATAAACACGAGCTATTGTGTTCGTAATACGTTGTGGAAACATGAACAATCCATAAAGCAAAGTATCAGCGATGGGCTGATAATGACTGCAAACTTTTCCAAAAGGTAAGCGCTAACTAATACGCTAGCCGATTGTGATGCTAACGCTAGCATTAGCTTTTTAGCGACTTTGTTCCTGTATGTTTGGCCTTTAACGTTAATATTAACGGTCGGAAACGTAATAAAAGACTTGACTACCAGTAGCTGTATGACTATATGGTTTTGAAAATAGCTGCATATTACTGGAAATATCAATGTTTTTGTATAATGTGTTTGTAGGTCACTACATGATTTAACTATGTTTTATGTACAGTCTTCAGTAATTATTTGTCCTGTTTTTTCTTCCAGTCAGACCAAATCAGAGGGTGACGGGCTGCTTATCCAACAGTAAGGAGAGAGGAGTTTCTAAAGAAGTAAGAATAACACTCTTTGATTTACGTATACAGTTTTAAACAGTCTTAAACACAGTGCAGTTCTTAGATACAAGTGTTTAGTTAAAAGTAAGAACATCTTCACACTGCTAGTGGTTTTACTGTGATATTGCTTTACATTGTAATCTCTCTGTGTCCCAGGTTCTTGTGGAGTTAAACATGACCAATATACAACAGCTACTTTGGAATCACCAGATTTTTTCCATCGGTGAGTCTCCTGAAAGTAATAATAAAATACCCTGTCTTTTATTATTCACTCAAAACATTTGTTTAAATATGTTAAATTTTATTTTTAGATTGTATTTCTGTTTAACTAATTAGGTAACTTGTAGCTGTAGCATTCAATGTAAGACTGTTAGAACAACAGAAGGTTGTTGTAATTTACATAATAGTTTTATTGAAATGCTTTTTACACTCAGTAAGGTGCAGTCATTTTAAATATTGTTTTAAAAATTATATGTACTTTATAAACTATAAACACTGATCTTTATTAAAATGGCCCATTATATAATGGTGTATAATTAAAGAAGGATTTGGTGTGAATTTAAACAAAATAAATAGAAGATGTGATGAAGTATATCAGCCAGTGTTGTGTCTCATTTGTCCATACATGTGTTAATGTGATTATTTAGATAAAGGGACATCTCTTACAACGTTATTTCCACTGGTGTTTTCAAAGTGATTGTTGTTACATAATTTGAACTTTAACACACACACATATATATATATATATATATATATATATATATATATACCTAAACATTGATGAGTACAATATTTTGATAGTGACTGTTACAAGTATTTAAAATACACAGACTATCTGGTTATTTTAAAGCAATCAATCTTCAAATAGGGATTACACATTCAGTTTTAAATTTAAAAGACACCGTGGCTAACAGCAAACCATACTGCTTCTCATGTTTGGTCTACTAAAAGCAGAGTAGAGGCAGTAAAAGATGGCAAGCAATACTGAGTAAAAAGCAGCAACTTAAGGTTCTGTAGAATTGTTTAAATAAACACACTGTAGAGTTACAACAATATTCACTTGGTCACTAACAGTGAAATACAGTAAAGTCAAAGTAAAGGGTTAAAGTGAAGGTTGTACTTTAAGACATTAAGTGTATCAATCTTTAAATTAACACTTAACAACTTTCAACTTGTTTTTCAACCACAGATGAAAAATGCTGTAGTTGAAGCAGATGATATTGAAAAACTGGGTGAATGAAAACAACATAATTATCTGAGCAGGTCAAGGTTTGTGGTGACAGTAATGTTGGGTAATTTTCAGGCCTGGTTGTGCAACACAGCTGCAGTATTTTGAGTGTTGTTTTTATATTCACACGTCACATTTTTGATCTATAAATGAATGTAAATTACATGTCAACACTTCTCAGTGCATATGTTAGTCTCCTGAAGCCTGTGATGTGATCCGCTCTCATGTTATTATACACTCCGCTCTTCTATTTTTACCTCTGATTCATCTAGGGCAGTTTCTTTTTTAAATTGCCCATTACTCAAAGAAGCTCCCCCGTCTTTGCTATAGAGAATCAAGCCTCTCTGTCATCCTATCATTTCCCAGCTCCCAAACCCTGTAAATAGGCGACTCTCTTGGTTCTATTCTCAACCCTAGCTAATTGTTTGGTATCCATGGAAACAAATCCAAGGGCTTCTGCTTGAACTGAAGAAGGTACATAATAGATAATAAAAATAATGAAAGGAGGGAAAATGATTTATTTATATATATATAAATATATATTTAAATATATTTATATACATATAAATATATATATAATACAACATCAGGAGGGGAATCTTCCCTCAAATATCTCAGCACCTTCCGTGTCTCATGTGGGACCCGAGTCCCACAATGACTGACAGAGATGCTCCTGCAGGGCTAGATTTAGCGTACTGCCAATTTTAACAACACAGCATGTAAATAAGTCAAAGCTGAGGTAAAGTAAATGTACATATATCATAGCACAGAGATGCGTTCACACGCATGCACACACACACGGCCCATTCTGAATGTAAATTGCTGTCAGGACAGAGTGTGTGGGTGTAAACAGCCTCTAGCTAACAGAGCTACTGAGGCAGAGAAACAGGAAGACTGAGTGGGTGTCGGAGAAACATACTCAACCTTTACAGTAAAATCACACTGTTAACACATTTTTAGAAACAGTGGTGTTGTGAAACCTAACCAAAATGCAACCCTCTATTCCCTAGTCATTTCTGAGTAACCTTTATTTTCAGAGATTTGTTCAGGAACTTATTGGTATTGTATTTTACTGTGATCAAAAGTTGGCGTACCAAAAAATTACATTTTTTCTGATTTAACCACAAAAATGGAAATAGCTAAGTATTTTAAGTCAAATTACTGCATTTTTAGTCATTTGTGAAAAACTTTTATTTTTGGGGATTTGTTCAGGAACGTATTCGTATAGTATTTCAGAAATTATAAATTAGGGCTTTTAAACAACATTTTTAGAATTTTTTAAAATAAAATTCTTGGCCAAAATGTGAACTTTTTATGTCATTTTTGGTCAAAAACTAAAAAGAATTGAGGAAAATATTTGTAGAATTATTTTTAAAAATGATATCTATTCCCGCTGTTTCTCATGAAATTACAGCATTTAGAGAACAGAAATTGTTTGTCAAAATAACATTAGGGCCTTTAAAAAACATTTTTTGAATTTGTTTTGTGTATATTTAAAAAAATGTATATACTTTTCATGTCATTTATGGTGAAAAACAAACATTTTGACTAAAATCTTTGTAAAACTTTTTTTTTGCATTTTTTCCTGATAGTAAAACAATATTCATATTTCTTTTGGTGATTTTTATATTATATATTCAGATAAAATACTTTTTGGAGTTTTAAACACAAAAGTTTTAAACAAAATTTTCACGACGGTAAGGCTATAGTA